GGGGGTCACCAGTCCGCGTCCTCCTCGATGTAGTAGTCGGGAGTTGTCCCGTCGAAGAGCCCGGGGTCGAGGGACTTGCGCTGCTTCCCCCGGGCAAACACCCTGGAGATGGAGCCAAAGCCCATCTTCTCTTTCTTCTTTTTCCTTTTTTGGTCTTCCAGGTCTTCTAGAGACTGCCAGGGGAGAGGACGTGGGGTTTTTTTTTCATTCAATTCAATTTTTTCATTCATTTTTCAAGCTTTTCATTCAACCCCCTCTCCCGCCCCCATCACACCCCATTCCCATCTAGGTCCCAAAGTATATTTGGGTCCAAGGTCTTGGACTAGAACAGATTATTCCTGAAATATATGTTGGAATTTGCAGTGATATTGCCCCCTCCCCAAATACCTCTGGGATTTTGGCTTCTTAATTCAACTGGTTCAGGATTTCAGTTCCAGGAATGTAAGGTCAGGGCAAGGGGCTTGCAAAAATACCCTGATGTTTATTATTCAGTTTATTTAAGTTATTCCCTGATAGGAATAACCTGACCCAGGCTGTGCCTTACAAACACCAAGACAGGCCCCGAGCACAGCAACTGCTTGTAGCATTACATGGATTTGGGGGCAAATCACAGGAATCTGAGACATCCCAGGATTACAATGCAGGAGGGCTTCTATTCCTTTTTCTTCAACCAACCCAAATCAGCACCTCTGAGCCCTCCCTAGAACACTTCCCAGCACAGGACCGGGCCTCCCAGGTGGGATTTGAAGAGGAATTTGTGCCCTACCTGTACGATGGGGTTGTGCAAGTTCTTCTGTACCGGTCCAGGACTATCCCCCTGTGGCAAGAGGAGACAGCTCCAATTAAATCACCCCCAACACAACCCGGCACCTCCCAGCAAAAAGAAAAGCAAGCTGCCGTTTCTGGCAGCTGTAGGGCCGGGATAACCCCCCCCCAGGACCCCACCTCTGGGTCAGCGACCTCCAACCGACACCCCACGGCGGTTTTGGGGCGCAGAGCCCCGCGCAGGGGGGGTCAGGACCCCCCACCCCCCAGCAGGGCTTACGTTGCAGAGCGAGTGCGTGCGGTGCCGGGGGGAGTTGATGTCGCTGGGCGTGGATGAGCGGTCGCCCTCGGCCGCAGAGGCGTCGGAGATGATGGACGGCTGCCGGGAGTGGCAGGGGCTCACCCGCACGGCTGGAAAGCAGGGAGGGGGGCAACAGGGAGTTAAAACCACACTGGCAAACCTGACTGCATTTTAAGCATCCGATGGGCTTGCAAAATAGCTGTTTTGGGGGGGAATTTGTACAGTTTTGTTTCCTTTTTGTTCCTCTGTGGAGGAATCTCGCTTCTCCCAAGGAGTAAGGGATAGGAGAAGAGGAAATGGCCTCAAGTTGCACCAGGGGAGGTTGAGGATGGACATGAGGGAAAACACCTTCCTCACACGGGTTGTCCAAGGCTGTGCCCGGCTGCCCAAGGCAGTGGTGCAGTCCCCACCCCTGGAGGGGTTCCCAAGCCACGGGGCAGTGGGAGCCTGGCAGTGCCGTGTTCGCGGTTGGACTCAACGACCTTAAAGGTCCAACCAAAACGCTTCTGGGATTCTACAAACAAGGCAGGCCCCCCAAAATGGCCTTTGGCCCCACGCCCAGAGAACCTGCCCGTGCCCACCTTGCCTGTCCGCCGAGTGCTGGGGGTGGGAGTGGTAGAGGGTCTGCTGGCTCTGGCGGATGGCGGCCGTCAGCGGGAGGTCGGCCTGCATCACCCACTCCTGGTTGCCGTTCAGCACCGTCTCGCCCGGCATGGCCAAGGAGTGGCGCTTGGGGACGTCCTTGGTCAGCGTGGCGAGGGACTGCTTGGCCTGGGAAGGACACCACGGTGGTGGTTTGTGGGGAGAAACCACACACGAACGTCTCCTGGAGCAGCAGAACCTCACCGAACCTCCCCTCTGCAGGTAAACACCCCTAAATCCTGTCGCTCTGCACCCTGGACATCCAGCACCTTTCTAGGGATGTCTTTTTAGGGGTTTTCTGTTAGTATCACAATAACACAACCACCGTGGTGGTCACTGAAATGGGATATTGGAATAAATCTCCAGGGGCAGGGCAGACGCCGAGGGGTGCCCGGGGTGTTGCTGAGCTCACCATGGCCAGCTCGGCCTCCAGCTCCTTCATGCGGTTGTCCTTCAGGTCGAGCTGGGAGCGCAGGGCGCTGGCGTGGTCCGTGGCCTCCTTGGCCTGCCGCCGCAGCTCCCACTTCTCCCTCTCCAGCAGGTCCTTCTCCTTGGCCAGGACTTTCACCGCGTCCTCGCTCTCCTGCCGGGACACGGGGTGGTGGTCCATCAGCAAGGGGAAACCCAGGGGCCACTCAAACCCCTCTGCCACAGCCACCTCGGGGATCACACCACCGCCAGCGGGCGAGCGGCACCTCTGGGCACCACGAGAAGCCTTAGACAGTGAGGAGAGGAGTGGGGAGATCCCCAACAGGGACATCTGCTCTGCACCTGGGTAAGTGATTCTCCCCCTC